GGCGTCAATGTTAATTTGGTCCCCCGGTACGTTGGTCATCTGTGTCACGTGGGCTTCCATCTCTTCATGACCTGTTTCATGCGCAGGCGCGTTGGCCATAGAGTTAGTTGGCGGCCCCGATTGTTCCACGCCGTGACTGTCCCCTGATAGGAATGTTTTTTATACAACCTAGGGGGACAGGCAAATTTATGTGGCGGTTTACCGAATAGTCGGTCAACATGTAACAGTGGGCTGGTTCGCCAACGTATTTTGAAAAAATAATTGGAGGAACGCATCCTTGACGCTACGACCTTCAGGTGCACTACTGGTATGGATTGCATAGAGATAGTATGGGGTCAACGATTGTGCCCAATGGGCCACTACTTATCGCGTGCAAATATTCGGTTGTTTAAAAAGCGGTAAGACTGTTTTTTGAGATTCTATTTGTCTTAAGGTTATAATAATAACCTACTTTTACATTTATAGTAGCCCGACTTTCCCTTTTTTCGGTAATTCGGTCAATTTAAGGTCGAATTTCCATCAATAGGTATCAACTGCCTGAGCAACAGGAGTTTATGTTGATGGGGTTGATTATATTTAGCTCTTTGAAACAACTATAAGTGGCTTCAGTTTAATATTCTTTTGGTCACTTTCACCACAATTACATATTCCTTTACACTCGTTAACCAAAAATTAAATATTTAAACACCATTTCCGTAAGACAGTTGGGCGGGGGGAATAGATATTTAGGCGGCCCTTCAAGACACTTTTGCCAATAACACTGTTTGATGACCTAAATTGAACTGCTACCTGCTTGGCTGTACTATTTTGTTTCGTTTTTTTTTCTGAAGGTTTTGCGAGATCTACCTGGTCATCTGCGCTCAGCCGTGCCACAGTCGCTGCTTCCCCTCCTTCCACAACCTGCTCCTCGCCTCCGACCTGAAATGGGCAACATAGACTGGGTGAACCAATCAGCGCTCGAGATTGTACGCCTCTGGCACGCCGCTTCTAATTACATCCACCTGAGTACACAGCTGGTCCTAGAGGTGCCTACGCAGGAAGATTTGCACACAAAGGCCAGTCAGGCTAAATTTGTCCGTTCCCGGCTACGTATCGGTATCAGCACGCCGCCGCTTCTTGTCTGGCCACCACCTGATGACAATCAGGTCAGTTTCCTAGAGTTTCGCGAATTCGTTTGGTAGACTCAGGCTGATGACTACCGGTTGGAGGCTCATTTTCAGTCTTCACTTATATTCAAATATTGTGTAGTAATTTTCGATATTGGAAGGCAGGCATTCCAACAAACGTAATTTGAAGGAAAGACGTTCATTGGGAAACAAGGAAAATTAATTCAATAAATTTGATAGAATAAATTCTTCGGGAAACAGGGACAAATTTTATTTGTAAATTTTCGACACTAGCACGCTAGGTCGTCTTCGGACGCGAGGAAATAGTGGGAAGAGCAATTCAAATTTTTAAACGTGTCAAAAAAATCGATAATGCTGTGTCAGCTGTGGTCATTAGCATGCTTTTATGGCTGGTCCTTTTTCCAGGCCTTTTAAGGATAAAAATCTACGGGTGTTGTCAGTTCATTCAAAGTCCAGGGATAATCAAGGAAAAGGGAGGAGAGAATGTTAAAGGTCACGAATAGTCGAGGACCACCACAGATACACCTACAGTTTTAGCAAACTCCATTCGTTTCATCTGGTCTCTATGATACCTATAGCTCGATCTCCGTCCTCTGAGCTTCGTGCCATCAGGATCCCAGACACTGATTTTTATAGGCTTAGAGTTTTATATTATATCTACACTAATCTATACTACTACTGTACAGTAAATATTGTGTACAAGGATTAATTACAAATATATCACCAACTAGTGAGATGGAGAAATACATAAAAATTTGATAGAATAAATTCTTCGGGAAACGGCAGCTTGTAGCTGCTGCACTGCAGTTTATTGCGGACAGACAGGACGATCAGCCTCCACACACTTGCGCGAACATCAACGAGTGGTAGAGGGACGATATCCGTCGTCTGAGGTCGCTGCGTACACATTAGAAACTGGACGCCAATTTGCATGGGATGAAACTTGCATTGTCGGCTCTTGCCCATACAAGAAGG